ACTGCCTTCGTTACATTTTATGCCGAGTTTCATTCCAGCTAGCTTCAAAACTCATTGATTTTCACGAAACGAAATGTCAGTCTGCGCCTTTCCAGTTTGATCGTAGGAAGGATTTTTGGTCGGTTTATTTGGTCAAGTATTGCCTACTGATTCCCCTTTTGTTCCCGAATATTTATACTGAGTTTTGAATTGTTTTTCTGCTAGGTAAACCAAAGACCCTTTTATATGGTTGTTTTTTAAGATTCTTACCTACGCGGTTTTAAAAAAAACAACGACTTTGAAGGCCCTTCTTTGCTGCGGAGTTATTATACTTGGATATATTACCAGTGTTTTGGAGGAGAACGGCATGGGTAAGTTCTTGCTTACTTCTCAGAATAGTAATATTTTCGCTGAATTTCGAGAACTTAAGGCGCGCTGTCTCAAGTAAAAAGCACAAATCTCTATTCCAGGGGTATTTCAGTCGGCAATTTTAGTAAAGAGAGATGGTGCAAGCTTATAGTTTTTTAAGTTGCTCCATTACTGTCTTTGATGTCAAATTCCATACGACCAGGCAATAAATTTCCCGAGTCTCTTTTATTCAGTAGCGGAAGTGTCAACTTTCGTTTATGTCCTGATTAGGTTAAAGCCTGCCGGGCAGTGAGTAGGGAAACAACTTACGTGCTCTAGTTCTCTAAACTTGTTGCTGGCAGTCAACTTGTTCCGGATCAGGAGAAGTGTAAACTTCTCCTAAAGAAATTGTCCTTCTGTTTATTTCTATCATATAATCTATAAAGTCTTGTGTATTGATGTCTACAAATGCTTTTTTAGATTTTGCAACCAGTAAAAGCTACTTCCTATTCCATCCCCCCAAAGCTCTTTTAGTGTGCGGCATTACCAAAAAGTACAAGAGGATGGAATGTCTATTTTAAGTTTATCTGTCATCATCAGTCAGCTATACTCCGGCCTGGTTTTCGAACCTGGGTCCAGTTGGTCGCTGAACTTGACGCGTTCGTGTTTTGTCTGTCGCTGAAGAGACTTCCGTCGATCTGGCCTGATTACAGCGTGCGATACGAAAATTCCGCTTTGCATTGGATTTCCTATTTTTTGTGTGTGTCTTTGATCCTTCCTCTACAGCTCCCGGGCTCTGTAGAGGAGCTGTTGTGAACGCCACTAAGCTGCAAAGTTCGCATGACCCTGGCAAAGTTCATTATTTCATATTATAGTATTTAAAAAATAATGCTTTGAAACAGTGCGTTACGGTAGTTCGTTCTTTGACCTCAATGAGAACAACTTTTATCCTGGGAAGAAATTGTGTTTGCGCATACTTTTGAGGATCCCTTTAGCAGCCCTCCCTTATTGTCTGTTCAGAAATTTCGCCCAAAGATTTTCATGCCCCATATCATGTATTGCTTTTTTCACTGGCGCCAAACAGACTTCACTCAGATCTCATCTCGACGATGGTTTAGCAAGAGGCCTTTATTGCCAAGTAACCATTCCACCCTGACCGTCTGTTGGCAGCCTTCCCAATCGCTATTTTTAGGGTTTCATGCTGGCCGACTTACAGCGCTGGAAGGGTCTCGCTGAATCGACCTTATTCGTTCTTTGATCGTGTACCATTGGCAGGTCCCAGACAAACCAACTAGAGAGAAGATGTGGCGCAGAGTCCAGCATTGCATTTGGCTGCCGTGTTTCGCATGCTACCTAGGCGTTTGGCCACCCCTCTGGGTCTGATCTGACAACGCTGTTTGTTCTACTGGCCGTGCTGTCTCACAATAAGGCATACACCATCTCCTGCTGGCTTGATGCTGTGAAGTTTTCCGGCCGCTGATAGTAGTCTCCGTTATGTTCTGCGAAGGGGTTTTTCGTTGTTTTTCTGTCACTGCGGCCAAGCCCGCCTCTGGTCGTCCTGAATCTGTCTTACAACAGCACCTCAATGGGTGGGAGAGAAGAACTTGCGGTAGATGCCACGGAAGCCTTCTCCCACTATAAAAATAATGCGCACGGGAGTCTCTGTCCTGCACCCACCACACTGTAAAGCACATGGTTGAAGTTATCGTTCAAGGCGGTCCACCCGCCTTTTGAATAGCCTTTTCCCAGGTCTTCTGGGCGAGTATATCTTCTTGAAAGTGTAGTTTTAAGAAAGTAAATTGGTTCGTGGAATTAGTGCAAGCTATCTTCAGATATGACCCTAGCAAGTAACTTAATCGGACATTAGTTTTTACATGTTTACCCTCTTGCGAGGGAGCACACGATGTGTAAATAATGGATTTTATTACGACGGAGTTTGTTGCAAAGCAGGTTGGGTAGGTTGGCTTCGCTGCCACTAAATTAGACTATTTTGAATTCGTCTCATCGGAGATGCATTCGTCGAACAGTCTGACCTCAAAAAGGGGTGATCAAAAAACTATAAATTAGTGTGTCTGAAAACTAGAAACTGGTGTGATCAAAAATAGCCCACCCGAAGTAGGCAGAATACAAAGCACAGTTTCAGTATTACGAAGTCATTTTCAATAATACAGGAAAAGTAAAAGAAAGCATAAGACAACAAGAGGCGGAATGCATACACCAGAAAAGTGTCACATTAGGACCTCTGCATTGTATGTACCCCTTTTACATGTCAGAATAATTCGACAATTATGTACGCCATACGGTGGACATTCTGATTTCGAAAAGCGCGTACTTACTACGCAAAGTTGTCATAAAAATGGCATGAGAAGAAGTGGTGGAACGTCATCGGGTCCAGCCATGGCCGAGTGATAAACCTTTTGCTGGTGTTTCTGAACTCTAAACGGAAAACATTCAACACTGTTTGCTACTTACTGGGTGAGCAGTTGGCTTCGTTGGATGGACGTTATACTTTTAATAAATTCACATAAGCCAAAATCTGTTGTGTACCAACAGTGAGCACCCGGTTTTGAGATGTTTAAAAGAGGCACAGAAGAGTTTGCGAATCAAAGGGGAATTTAGTCATAAGGTATTCACTTTCCTTTCCGTTGTTAAACTAATGCATTTTCTGGCATTTTCAATTTCCGAAGAAACCAATTCAGAACTTGGAGTAAATCTTTCGCAATAAACCGCTCGGTCCGCAAATTGATGTGCATTTTGTTATCTTCTCTTCTCTATTCTTTTGTTATCTTTTCTTGCGGCACCTTAAAATAGTTCCGGTAGACCTACCAGGAGCAGCTTGTTTTCCTCTCTTAAAAGCGAAAACCAGTATCTAAGAGAATGTCGGGAAAGCTTACTCATGAAATTACCTACAAATGATAGAATTCCAGTACAAAAGAGGCAACAGTCTACTTCAATTTTACTTACCCTTGTTGCACTTCTTTCCTTCGAATAGTTGTGGGCTGTCCTAATAAAACTGAGCTGTAACTATCAGCAAAGCAGCCCTCTTTTGCCGCGAAATAGCCTTCGATAATTAGCGAAACTATGGTCCAGTTGAGCATGCACGGTAGATAGGCCATCTCAGGACATGTTAACCAAGATTACAAAAGGTGTTTTCGATTATAGAAGTTCAATTAAGTACTGGTAATGACCAAACAGATTCCACGCCAATCACTTTAGGATGCCGGCTTTGAAACAAGCTTCCTTCTTGCCGCCGGGAAAAACCACAAAATAATTTCCTCAGTAGTATGCATATTTCTATTGATTTTCGACGTCCATGTAAATACCATTATAATTTGTAGCAAATAAAAAAAACAAACACAGGGAACAACAGTATTCTTTCTCGGTATCAAGTTGTCTTCAAATTTTATGCTTAAAGAACTGGTATCTTACAGTTTTAAAAGAAACCTTAAGAAGAAACACGTGTACAAGGGGAGCTTCAGCAAGCTCGGTGCACTGTTTTATCCTATTACCCAATTAACTGTTTCACAATTACCGGCCCTCCTTCCATTGCCAACTTGCTCATTTTTTGAGTTTTGTTTTGAGTACATAGTTTGAAGTCTTCTCAACGCTGTTGGCCAACCAGTATTTCTTTCACCTCGATAGGACACCACGAACTATTTGGTTATCTTTGGGAGTATCTATCAATGCGCTCCTTGTTATGTGCAACCATAAGATAACTCTAAAAGCCTGAATTACGTTCTGAGGTGTATTCTTTCTTTACAGTCGTGCCCTACTTCCGTAGAGCAGTTGAACAAAGGGATAAAAATGAAATCCTATCTGCCACTTTGGCTTTAGTTCACAGATTCTTGGCGGGTAATGGATTTAAATGGCCTGGCCGTCGAAGATTCTCTGGTCAGCCCTATAGACTGTAAAGAATTCGTCATGATTGTTTCTTCCTGTTCTGCGTCCACTCCGATTCTGCCGACCGCTGGGGTCTAGTTATAAATTGGCAGCCTAAACTAATGTTTGTTATCATTTTGGACAGTTTCCTCGAACGAGATAGAGGGAGGAGAAAGAGGAGAGAGAAAGAGATGCGCTTTAAGCCCCGAGTGTATTATTTTCCTGAGGTACTTTGCCATACACCGCCGACTGTTTGATTTTCTGATGCCTCCGTTAGATACCTTTAAGTGAAGCTGATAGATGGTGCAACTGGAAGGATCAGAATTTTTTCTGCTCCATCTCACCTCTCTTCCTCATCAGGTATCCAGTTGTTATTTTTTTACCGGACCGCCTGATTTTCGTCTATCGCCTTCTCATTCACACAGAGCCCTTCTTCTCTTTCAGGTTCACTCTCGGTGTCGGGTCTCATTTTTGGTGTGTCAGCCAGCTTTGCAGTGGCCCTCTTTGCTATTATGACCTCCAAAGGCCTAGCCCATGTTGGTGGCAATATTTGGAAACTTACTTTTTACAACAACCTCAACTCATCCTTGCTCTTCATCGTTGGTATCCTTTTGACCGGCGAATACAAGGAGTTCATGTATCTACCACCGTTCTTCAGGTACTCACCCCCCGTCCGTGTTGTTTTAGAGGCACCCGTTTACTTTATCTGAACTTTCGGTCTCTTTTGACTGTTTTCCACTTTATTTTGTAATCATTTTCCCCTACCCTAAGTGACACAATTCCTAAACAAGCTAAACACCGGACAGTACAGCATCTCCTTTGCTTGACAACAATTTTGCACTGCTGTTTTATTACCATTGTTATTTACGAGTCCCGTACTAGAACCATAAACTATTCCTTAGTCTGCCCTTATGCTGTTGTTAGGGGCAATGTCCTGGTAGCGAATAGTGCTGAAATGTCGTCTACCCCATTGTTCTGTTCATACGTAGTACATCGTAGTAACTATTCGTATTCTCTGGATCGGGGTCATCTGCAACACCACTTATAAGTGCACCTATTCCTGGGCTGACCTAAAGCCGGCTTTCTCACCGCGTCCCCTTTTGTGGTTCCGTTTTTCTTAGATTATAAAACAATGATTTCTGGATTTTTGGCTTTGTGATCTGCTTTCAGCGGCGGCCAGTAAAGCTGTCACCGATGTCTGCGCCATATTCCTCATAAAATGAGCGAACGAATACTTTAGATTTGTTCATTTTATACACATAAAGTTCCACATTGTCGGTCTCAATCTGTGCTTTCTTAAGGCAGTGGATGACTACATATATTTGAGCTACTGGTAAATAAGGTACCTTTTTCAAGACTATCACATCTACATCTACCTTCTTATCATCACAAGCCAATGTTTTAAGTAGTGCCCATTTGTGGCCTGAGTTGAACTTGATATCTGCTTCATTATGATTACCATTGAAAATCTTTCACATTTTAATAGTTAATGTCCAATTGGCATAACTGGAATTTTCACTTTCAAGCCGGTAAGAACACCTTTAATCAATGCTAGTCCGAAACTGGATTTTTGAGATCGAAATGCTTCGCAACTCCTAATATCTAAGCAAAATATAATATCGCTTTACAAAATGACTTCAATAATTGCGTGAAAACATTGCGGAACTTACGTAGTACACTTTCTGTGAGACCGTTTCTAAATAGTCCGGCAAACATGGCAAAAGTGACCTTTTTTCCTTTCCATTGTGTTCTTGTTTACTCACTACTATGACAATAAAGACTATTTGTTCCGCCGGATCACACGAAAGTGTGGTCACAGCGCTGGTTCGGTTTGCCTCGTTATTTTAAAGAAAATTCCAAGAGTCCCCACGATGCCCACAACGCTTTTAGGCTCTCGTCGGTCGGAATTGCATATGCATATTCCCCATGTCATCCAGGAACCTTCCGCTATATTTTCGGAAGGATAGATATTCCCTTGTAATAATCTTAAATTAACCTTCGTCGTAATCCCTCCCCTAAACTTATCTCAAACTTAATCCTCATTATCGTGGGATTTAGCGTGGTTCCTGTTTTCGCCTACTGTCGGGCAGGTTGACGTATAAGTACTTCCTAGCCCCCCGCCCCGCCATTTCAAAAGTAATCTGTTGTATTGCGCTTCTTACTTTTATTTGGCTGAGTCCCTTTGCTGTAAAACACTCGTTACTATAAGGATCGACCTACTGAGCACAAAACGCGCATCAATAATTCAATGCTTTTAAGGTAGTCTGATTGACACAGCGCGCTCGTTATTCGTCTATCCGCTCTCGCGTAATGCATTACATTTACCCACTTTTGTTTCATTCACCTTTGTACAGCCTTATGAGTTTACTGTTCTGGAGCACAATGCTAGTAAGCGGTGTCTTTGGGTTTGCCATAAGCTATGTGACATCCTGGCAAATCCAGGTGACCAGTCCGCTCACACACAACATCTCCGGAACTGCTAAGGCTGCCGCCCAGACCCTTTTGGCCGCCCTCATTGCCCTGGACTTCAAATCTCCCCTATGGTGGGTCGGCAATTGTCTCGTCGTCGCCGGTTCCATGGCCTACGCCTACGTGCGGCACAAGTTGTCTATGGAGGCAGAGCAGGCGAACGCTGGCGATCTGAAAAGGGTCACTACTGCATAGCTTAACCGCTGCATATGTCTTTCGTTACTGCGCTTACAGCGTTCTATCCCGAACGTGTTTACCTTTGTGATGTCCTTGGTTTGTTGTGTCAAAGCTGCGTTCTCTTAATGCACTCTTATTTTTCCCATTTTCCGTACTGCACTCTCCTCATATTTTCTTCCTTCACTACGTATTTTCATTCTTGAGACATACACATACACACAGTGATTTTCGCGTTCTTTTACTTCTGGGCTTATTATTCTGCGCATGGTGTATCTTTCAATCTACTGGAAGCTGTTATATAAATTTTATGAACCGGTATATATGTTGCGTCTGAAAGCGAGGCTTTAATGAAGGGACCGGCAGCCGCCTTCTTCTGACGTTTCGGCCTCATACTCAAGTCCACCATAGGGGGGAGTGAAAAAATTTAAGCTGTACTATTTTTTAACATCGAGAAGGTTGATTCCAGCCACTGACTGGTTTAGTATTTATGCAGGCTGCCCTGTGCCATGCCTCCCCACAATCGAACTGCTTTCTGGTACTTATCTCCTTGGAATATATCTGTGTTCTTGTCTACATAAAGAGTTTTCATGTCGCTGACGAACTATTTTATAACGACTCCCAGGCCGTACTTCCCTTAGATGTGATCGCATAAATTAATGCCTGAATGGTAGGTTTTACTGCAACCGGGTCCAATTTTACTTATATTTTGTCTCTGTAGTGTCTGCTGTGTTCGTTCTATAAGATGAGCAGAACAAGTGTGGCTTGGGGGAGTATTTTAGAATGGGAAAACACTTATTCTGGCTGCCTTTAAATTGGGCTGACGCTAGACATATTTTTACTGACGATGGCCCCTGACTGTCGATTTATTTGTTAAAGTCTCTGTCACATTTCGTCCGCTTCATGTATAGTTATTTGGTAGCTGAACCTTTTTTTTTTGACCCAATGCAGTTAGCCGGTAACAGATAGGGAAATAAATCTTCAGGGACTCAATGATAGCATGCCAAGCCCGGCGACTGAGTTCTGCATTTGCGTGGTCGCATTCTCAAATCATTGTGTGAGAAGGTCGGTGTCAGGAGCTCGCTGGATGCTTAAAAGTGCAAGTCTTTGTT